AAGTAACTGGCTTATTTAAACAGAAAAAGAGGGATGCCTTGGTGGCTCAGTTGATGAAGGGTCCAATTCTTGATCTCAGCTCAGGTCTTGGTCTAAGGGTCATGAATTCAAGTCCCATGTTGGGCTCCACATTGAGTGTGGAGCCTACTTTACAAGTAAACAAAGAAACAAGCAAACAAAATAAATAAATAGAAAGAAACAGAAACAATTTGAGGAAATAGAACCGTGGCAGCGAATTTGGAGGCAAACTGGTGCACAGCTCTGGTAGACAGGATCCATGGAATAACCAATAAAATCATGGAGTACTGTGCATCTGTTAGATACAACTCCTATGAGTACCATCCCCAAGGGTCTAGGAAGCGGTCACTTGTTTTACAGTGAAGGGGCAGGAATGACTGTCCCAAAGCAACTCTGCAGAAAGGTAAGAGCAGAACTTTTTTAAGAAATATTTTATTTATTTGAGAGCAAAAGAGAGCAAGAGAGAGCGTGAATGGGGAGGAGAGGGAGAAGCATGCTCCCTGCCGAGCAGAGAGCCTGATTCAGGGCTTGATCCCAGGACTCTGGGATCCTGATCTGAGCCGAAGGCAGACACTTAACTGACTGAGCCCCCCAGGCATCACCACAAGTGAATATTTTCAAATTTATTATTAAGTATAGCTGACATACGATATTATATTAGTTTCAGGTGTATGACAGAATGAGTCAACAAGCCTATACATTACTCAGTACTCACCACGATAAGTGTAGTCACCATACAACACTATTACCACATTATTGACTATGTTTCCTACGCTGTACTTTTCCTCTCTGTACTTTATTTTATAATCTGGATGTTTGTACTCCAGAGCAGAAATTTAGGAAGCTTTTCTCCACCTACTCTCTCACTGCTACCCTCTTCCCAGAGTATAGCCTGCTGACTCTGTATTCTCCACACCCAAACCCCATCTTCTCCCATCTCTTCCCACATATTCCAGTTCAAGACAGACTGGTTTCCCCAGTAGTTTCTCACAGAGAGAGTGGGTATGATGGTTCAATCCTGGATTCTCTGCTTTCCTCTTACTTTATATTTTCCCCAGGAATGATTTTTGAGGAAGGAGCCACAACCTGAGCTAATTTGCCATCTGAGAGGTTTCTGGTGTATTCTGGTTCTTTACAAGTTCTTGCAGTTACTGGTGGAGATTACTGCATTGTTATTGAGAGGAGGGGTTGGCCTGGAGATATTTTTAACCCCCAAATTGTACAACTTACAGAAGGCTGATTTCCTGTCATCAATGCAATAATTAGCACCTTGGAAAGGGATCTGGAATACATTGCCAATTAAGATTCATCTTAATTAACTCAACAAATACTTGTGTGGTTATAAGCCAAGCATGGTTTTATGTGCTGGAAATAAAAATGAAAAGAAATTATTCCTACCTTCTAGTGGAGAAGAAGAGAAATTGATTCTATTATAATTATAATATTGCAAATCAAAATAATCACATCCTTAATAAAGATACACACAAGGTTATTGGGAACACAAGATCCTTGGCAAAAGGAGGCTTCACAGAAAGATGACATTTGAGCAAAGAACTTGAAGAATGTGTAGGATTTTTCTAAGAAAGTAAATGGGAGAAAAATGTTACAGGCAGAGTACAAGCATGAGACCAAGAGAAAAAGCTTAAGGAAGTGTGGTATACTCTGGGATATACAAATAGATCAGTATTTCTAGAGCATAAATTGTGAATGTAAACAGACACTCTAATTCAGCGCTATGAACTGGTTCTTCAGCTTTTTAGGAAGGCTATTTTTCAATAACTATCAAAACTTAAAATGTATGTACTTTCTGGTCAGGAATTGCCACATAAATTCCAGCATTGTTTGTAAAAGGTTTGTAACAACCTAAGTATCCACAAAAGGAGGAGCTGGTAAAATAAATGATGGACTGTCCAAACAACGCAAGCACATACAATCATAAAAAAGAACACAGGATCTATAACTACTAACCTGGACTAGTTTTTAAAACATACATATAGTTCAATGTGAAAATCTGGATGCTGAGCACTGTATATACAATATTATCATTTTTTAGTGTGTGTTGGAGGTGTGACTTCCCATAGATGCATAAAATATTTCTGGATGGGTTTGCACGGAACAGGTAAGAGGAGCTGCCCCCCTGAAAATAGGAACTGGAGATCTGGAGTAGGAGGCAGTGACAGATTCTAAAACACTTTCCAATCATCCCTTGCTTCCTGATATTCACACCGATGTGCAGTCCATTGCCCTTGGAGTATGAACGGAGCCTGAGACTTTCTAGAAAACAGAATACAACAAAAGTGATGGATATCATTTCTATGACTATGTTAAATACAACTGTGACTTCCATCTTGCTACAGACTCTACCGACCCTCACTCTTGTTAGATTTCATGAAGTCAACTGCCCTACAGAGAGGCCCATATGCCAAGGAACTGGGTATGGCCTCTGGCTGGCAGCCCCAAGCACAAGGAACTGACTCCTGACAACAAGGATGTTGGCTTGGAAGTGTGTCCTTCCCCAGCTGAGCCTCAGATGAGACCCAGTCCTGGCTGACACCTTGACTGCAGCCTTATGAGATCCTGAAGCTGAGAACCCAGAGGAGCCATGCCCAGATTCCTGACACACAGAAAAGTCTTTCTTTACTATTTCTATTCAGTATTAGGCTGAAGTTCCAAATCAGTGCAGTCAAGCAAGAAAAAAATTATTTTAAGTATGAGGATTGGAAGGGAAAAAGATATTATTCCTTACATGAAAACCCCTCCCAGTCTACAGATAAAATTTGACATTGATAGAGAAAGTGTAGCAGTGTGTTTGGACAAGAAAAGGAAATATATAAAAGGCAATTTTACTTCTGTACATAAGCAAAAAATATCCAGATAATGTTATTTTTAAAAATACTCTATGTTACATAGATATGCAAAAATACGAGGTCTCTAGATATGCAGAAATTATGAACAAAGTCATAAAGTCTTAATAAAAGACACTAAAGAAAACCTAATACCCTCCAGACCACTTACTGCATATCTCTCATTTTATGGAAGAGGATTTCTTTTTTACATTGTCCTAAATATGGAAGAAACTATCTGGAGAGACCTAGAGGAGTCAGTGTCGATGGTACTGATCTAGAGAACAAGTACAAAAATTATAAGAGAATATTATGAGCAACTCATGGCAATAATCTTGAAAAACTAGAAGGAAATAATTTTTTTGAAGATTTTATTTATTTGACAGAGAGAGCATGAGCACAAGCAGGGGGAGCAGCAGGCAGAGGGAGAGGGAGGATCATGACCTGAGCCCAAGGCAGATGCTCAACTGACTGAGCCACCCAGGCGTCCCGGAAGGAAATAATTTTTGAATAAAATACAAATGATCGGGACGCCTGGGTGGCTCAGTCAGTTCAGCCGCTGCCTTCGGCTCAGGTCATAATCCCAGGGTCCTGGGATCGAGTCCCACATCAGGCTCCTTTCCCTGGGGCGAGCCTGTTTCTCTCTCTGACTCTGCTTGCCACTTTGCCTGCTTGTGCTCTCTCTCTCTCTCTCTCTCTCTCTGACAAACAAATAAATAAAATCTTAAAAAAAATAAAATACAAATGACCATGTTGAATTAATAAACAGGGGAAAAGACTAAAATGAAACCAATAATCATATAAGAAATAAGAAAGCTAATTAATGATCTACCTTTTAAGAAAGCATCAGTCTCAGTTGGTTTTATAGCTAAGTATAGAGAATTTTTATTTATTTTACTTTTTTTAAAATAGGCTCCATGTCCAGCGTGAAGCCCAGTGTGGGGTTTGAACTCATGACCCTGAGATAGAGACCTGAGCTGAAACCAAGACCTTAACTGACTGAGCCATCCCGGCACCACAAAATATACAGCATTTTAATTTTTTTTTATTTTTTTAAAGATTTATTTATTTATTTGACGCAGAGAGAGAGAGATCACAAGTAGGCAGAGAGGCAGGCAGAGAGAGGAGGAAGCAGGCTCCCTGCTGAGCAGAGGGCCTGATGTGGGGCTCAATCCCAGGACCCTGAGATCATGACCTGAGCTGAAGGCAGAGGCTTTAACCCACTGAGCCACCCAGGTGCCCCAGTATACAGCATTTTTTAAAGAACAGATATTTCTATCTTACTTAAATTATTTCACACCACAGGCAAAGAAGAAAGATCTTCGATACATTTTACAAGCCCGGTTAACTCTTTTTTTTTTTTTTTAAGACTTGTTTATTTGGCAGAGACACAGCAAGAGAGAAAATACAAACAGGGGAACTGGGGAAGGAAGAAGCAGACTCTATACTGAGCAGGGAGCCCAGTGCGGGACTCGATCTCAGGACCCGGACACCATGACCTGAGCCAAAGACAGACACTTAACTGACTGAGCCACCCAGGTACTCAAGACTAGTTTACTCTTAATACTAAAACATAATAAAGATAATACAAAAAGACAAGAGTCTAACTTTATCTTTGAATATAGATGCCAAGAGTCTAAATAAAATCTTTGCAAATCAAATCCAACCATCTATTAAAAGAAAATCATTTCACAACCAGGTAGAATTCCAGGAAATATGAATGGCTTAACATTAGGAAATATGTGTCTCCAATTCAGCACAGGAACAAATAAAGGAGGAAGATCACATGATTATATCAAGAGTAACTGAAAGGCATTTAATAAAAGTCAGCAGCCATTTCCAAAATTGGAGCTCATGTTTATTAAGTGCTTGCTCTGAACCAGGCACCCTTCTAAGTGCTTTGCCTGCATCAACTCAATTCTCCTAGCAACAACTGTATTGCTACAATTATTAGTTTTCCTATTTTACAAAAGGGAAAACTGAAACTCAAGCAGACTCCCCACTGAGCAGGGAGGGACCCCCGATGTGGGGCTCAATCCCGGGGCCCTGTGATCATGACCTGAGCCAAAGACAGATGCTTAACTGACTGAGCCACCTGGGTGCCCCTCCTTTGGCTTTCTAAAGATATGTGGTATTCCATTATTCCATTATTTTCCTGCCCCAAACCTTTCTTAGAGCTTCCTTCACATTCTTGTTTCTCAAGGAATAAATAAGGGGGTTCAGCATTGGGATTATCACTGTGTAGATCACAGCAACTGTGTGGTCTTGGGTCAATGAGTAGCTGGACCTGGGGTGCAGGTACATAACAAGTGTTGTACCATAGAAGAGGCAAACAGCAGTGAGGTGGGAAGCGTGGGTGGAAAAGGCCTTTAACCTGCCATGGACTGAGTTCATTCTCAGGATGGAAATGAGGATTAAGAGGTAGGAGACCAAGATGGTGAGAGTGCAGCTCAAAAGATTGAAACCAGCAAAAAGGAAGAGCAGGATCTCACACAGTGTGGTGTCCTCATAAGACGAGACAAGACAGGTGGTCCGGCACAGAAGTGAGTGACCATGTGAGCACCACAGAATTTCAGACTAAAGATACAGCTTGTATGGATAAGAGAAATGAGAAACCCTGCACCATAGAAGCCCACAATCAAAGAGACACAGATCTCAGGAGGCATGGCGAGTGGGAAGAGCAGGGGTTACAAATGGCAGCATAGCGGTCATAGGCCAAGGTGGCAATGAGAGAGCACTCACTGGTGGCAAAACTCTCATAGAAGAACATCTGGGCCATGCAGCCAAAATAAGAGATCATCTTCCTCTTGGCTGAGAAGTTCACCAGGGTCTACGGGACAACCGTGGAGGAGTAGTAGAAGTCCAAGAAGGAGAGGCTCTTCAGGAGGGAGTACATGGGTGTGTGCAGAGCACTCAACGTGGATCAGGAGGAACATGATCAGGATCCCCAGCACAGTGATGGTGTGCGTGCCCAGGAACACAGTGAAGAGCAGCTTCTGGAGCTGGGGGTCTCTGGTGAGGCCCAAGAGTTCGAACGCAATCTCTTGGCTCAGGTTTGCCCCTTCCATATTTCTCCAGTGCCCTGGCATGAGGAGCAAGGGGACCACCCGAAATGAGGGGGAACACCCAGGGGCTCTCACTGGATTTGGTTCTGCTTTAGCCAAGGGCAGCAATCTGAAGATTGGTCTCACTGTAGAAGTCCTTTGTAGGTAGGACTCTTTCACAAAGAAGGTCTTCTCTACTTGGTCATGTGGTTGGTTTGGAAGCATTACTAGAGCAGTAGTAAAAACAGAAAAGAAATATATACAATTTGGTCTCTCTGCAACCTTAAGATGCTCTAAATAATGAAACAGTTACTTGGGAAATATTTGTTGACTGGCCTTCCATATGCTAAGCTTCGAAAATTCAAAAGTGTGTCTTTAGGAAGCTTACATTCTAGGGGTGCCTGGGTGGCTCAGTGGGTTAAAGCCTCTGCCTTCAGCTCAGGTCATGATCCCAGGGTCCTGGGATCGAGCCCCACATCGGGCTCTTGGCTCATCGGGGAGCCTGCTTCCCTTCCTCTCTCTGCCTTCCTCTCTGCCTGCTTGTGATCTCTGTCTGTCAAATAAATAAATAAATAAAATCTTTAAAAAAAAAAAAAAGGAAGATTACATTCTAGGGACAGTGTATTTTGTGTTAAAGCACACAGGTTCTGGCATCAGACTGCCAAGGTTCCAAGTTGGGACCTCACCACTAACTAGCTGTGTTAGTGTGGGAATGTTATTTAACCTCTCTGAGTTTCAGTTTTCTCATCTGTACAATAGGGAAAATAGCACTAATCTCAAAAGATTGTTGTAAGAATTCAATGAGTTAATCCACGTAAAATCACGTGAACAAATCCTGGCATGTTAAGAAAGCTCAAAGAATGTTAGCTTTGATTATTCTCATTGGAGAGACAGACCTAGCGCATAACGAAATATGATTGATAAAATGAAACGACAACAAAATTTGGCAAGCAAAGCACCATCAAACACAGACAGAGACATGTGTGTGAGCAACAGTGACTGAACAACTTCAGAGGATCCTGAATGTTCTAGAGGAGTTGAAGGTGATTATTGGCTCAGCTCTAAAATGGCCTCTGAACTTGGCACAAGTTAAGCACCACTGTGAATTTTAACAGTGACGAGGGTTTGGGATGTGGAGAGATGGGGACAGTGTAGAGCATGAAGTACAAGCTGAGACCTTGCTCTTGGAAGGACCCTTCGCAGTCTTGAGTCATTTCCAGGGAACAGGATCACCCTGAACTCGAAGGTCATTGGGGCCAGAGGGAAAGGAACAGCTCCTCCCCAGGACTGAGGCTTTATAAATGCCTTTCCTATTGGGAGAATGAACAAGGCATGGATACACCATCCAAACACCATACTCTTTTCCACTCCATTGGCTGCTCTGCTGCCCATGTTTCTGAATTATCTCTGGGTTCTGGAGTCAGTTAAGCACTCCATGCTCTTTGGTGAGGACCCACAGTTGCAAAGACTTTGAAGCCAGCAGATGTGATTGGGTAGGGTGGAAGAGTGCAGAAGTGAGCCCCTTTGTCCGCCCTGAGGAGTATAAGTGAATGACACAGCTGTGGGTGATATTGGGAGGATTTGGGAGAGGAGAGGTGCATTGAGCGAAGTTTCTAATTTATCCCACTTGCAGAGTTTCTGGAATCATCAAACCGCCAGGGCAGGAGAAGACTCAAAAGATATAGATAACTAAACTTGACTGTTGAGTAGATAACGAAGGCACTCCGGCTACTGGTAGAGCACTGTGAATGGTGACAAGAAGAAAACATTGTAATAATGCCTGAAGAGGTCACATGATCCACCAAAGTTGAGACACTTGAAGAGGGAAAATTTGAACAAAGAGCCTTGATAACTTCTTTTAAAGCACATGAAGCATAACTCTGCGATTTATCTCATGTCACTGAGGTGTAACATTCAGCCATTTTAAAAAAAATTTATTTATTGGGGGCCCTGGGTGGCTCAGTGGGTTAAAGCCTCTGCCTTCGGCTCAGGTCATGATCTCAGCATCCTGGGATCAAGCCCCGCATCGGGCTCTCTGATCAACGGGGAGCCTGCTTCCTCCTCTCTCTCTGCCTGCCTCTCTGCCTACTTGTGATCTGTCAAATAAATGATTTTTTAATTAATTAATTAATTTACTTTCTTGTTTATTTAAAGGAGGGAGAGAGAGAGAGCATGCATGAGCACAGCGGGAAGCACAGAGGGAGCCAGAGAAGATCTAAGGCAGACACCACACTGAGCACTGAGTGCAGAGTCCAATGTGGGGCTCAATCTCACAATCCTGAGATCATGACCTGAGCCAAAAATCAAGAGTCAGATACTTAACCGACTGATACATCCAGGTGCCCCGCATTCAGCCATTCTTAAACTAATAGCTGTTAGTTTATAATAAAGCCCATTATCGTAGGGGTGTGGGCAGTCCTAGATTTGGGTTGCAAATGTCATTAGCTCCATTGGTTTCAAAAGCCAACCCAATTTCAAAGCAAATTACAAGGCCTTCAGAGAAATAACTGTAAAAATCCTGGGTTGGGGTAACTTACAAGAACTTCAAGGAAGCTGAGAAATTGTTACAAGAGGAGTAGGAGGACTTCTTGAGACCGAGCTTCACATCTTCCTTCAATAGACTGTTTTGATGTGGGTAACTGACCTGCAAGTATCTCTCTCATGAAAATAATGGAAAAGCTGAGGAAAGTGGGAATGCGGTCAATGATCAGAATAGTGTACGTGAGGTGGGGAGGTGGGATGGGACAGGATAGAGTGGTAGGGAATACAGCGGGTAGCTGATCAGAAGCTCCAAGTTCATTACTTGCTTTAAATCCTCTCTTTCTTTCCCTCCACTTTCCCCTCACATATTTCTTCTCTGATCTGCACTAAACTCAGAATCAGAGTACAGAGAGTAAGTCAAGCAAGGGACGGTGAAGAAATTGACATCTTCATCAGTTTTCCAAAGGACACTGAAATAACCATCATTTCTGTTGGCTATAGTTTGTACCTGTGAATGAAAGCTAGGAAGAAAACTTAAGGGTGGTCTTTTCACATGGAAATGGATTAGTGTCTAGGAGTGAGAACCAGTGCCTGGGGCCTGTAAGTGAGGGAGGAGTAGTCAAGGGGCTTTATTTACAGCTGCCTCCTCGCTCTCCTCCCTGGGATGGCAGAGTAGGAGCACAGATAGAGAGAAGGCAGCCAAAGGAAGCAGCTAGTGCATCTCTTTGAGCAACAGTGACCCCAAACAATGGTTCTCAAGCATTAAGATGTCCTGCCCAGGGTTCACAAGAGAAGGTTGTTATCTGTGCAGATTCCTGGTCCCAAACTCAGAAAATTTGATCTAGTAGGTCTATAGCTGGTCCCCCAAATCTGGTGATGAAACAGGGCATCTCTGAGCCACACTTTGAGAAACACTAAACCATGGGGTACCTGTGGGAGCAGACAGATCTTCCTGAGCCACATATAAATATCCTTTTCTAACGTGTTGGAATTCTCCATGTCCTGGAAAATCAGCCCATGAGTAGGATGGTTGTCCTGGCTATTCTCTTCCTTCCTTAATGTGTATCAATAGTCAACAATTTCCAGAAATCTGAATATTACCTCATGATAATCAAACACCAGAGAACTTCCTCCTTCAAAGTTGCTTGACATGTTCTTAACCAAATCATTTAATTCTAGTAAAGCATATGACTTGATGGCAAAGCTCTTGCTCTGGAGATCAGAACACAAGCCTTCAGTAGAAAAACAATAAAGACTAAGCCAGATTCTTTGGGTCCATAGACTGAAATGTGGAGATCATAGACTTTAACCTCTCACGTGGTGATGGAAGGAAAGCAGCTCCTACTCCCCAAGACGTCCTCGCAACTGATCTCAAGTGTGGGGAGAGACATCCCTTCCCCTGGGCAGCCCAGCAGCTCACAGCTGGGGACGACGATGTGTTCACTGATGAGATTTTAGGAGGCAGCTGAGGAAGTGAGAATAATTGGCCCCAGGTAGACCCATTAATGTGCTTGTGAAGTTAGTAGCATCTCCAAGAGCCTCTATCCTGAGGAATAATAAGGTGACTAGGAACCTGGGAATGGAGAGAAGGGGTCCACACGAGATCTGTCAGTATGCTCATCATTAGCCCCAAAGGACTGCTCTCCCTTAACCCTAAACTGAACTCTTACATAATTATTATTTGTATTTTTCTCCACTGGAAAACCACATTTTTGTAGCTTTGCTTTTCTTGTATGCCAGTTAGCCAATGTACACCTAGGACGTCCTTGCCCAAGATCATAGTAAAATTAAAGCTATATACTTAGTTTCCAAAGATTTGGGGATTTCCTAGGGATCTTTCTGTTCTTGATTTCTAATTTAATAGCATGTGGTCAAAGAACATACTTTGTATGACTTGAATGCTTGTGAATTTATTGAGACTTGTTTTATGGCCCAGAATATGTTCCCTTTTGGTGAATGTTCCATGTTCACTTAAAAAGAATGCATATTCTGCTGTTCTTGGGTAGAGTGCTCCATAATCACCAATTAGGCCAAGTTGCTTGATACTGTTGTTCAAGTCTACTATATCCTTTCTGATATTCTGCCTGCTTGCTCTATAAAATATTGAAGGGGGAGTATAATGAATCTCTAACTGTAGTTGTGAGTTTGTTTATTTCTCCCTATAGTTCTCTACTTTTTGCATGAGGTACTTTGAAGTTCCTTTATTAGGCAAAAATAATGAACATATTGTTATGTCCTCTTGATAAATTTACCCACTTATCATTACAAAATTACTCTCTTTATGCCTACTGATACTTTTTGCTCTGAAATACACTTTTTCTTTATTTTTTTAAAAGATTTTATTTATTTATTTGACAGACAGGGATCACAAGTAGGCAAAGAAGCAGGCAGAGAGAGAGCAGGGAAAGCAGCTTCCCTGCAGAGCAGAGAGCCTGATGTGGGGCTTGATCCCAGGATGCTGGGATCATGACCTGAGCTGAAGGCAGAGGCTTTAACCCACTGAGCCACCCAGGCGCCCCTGAAATACACTTTTTCTGATAGTAATACTGTCACTACAGTTTTATTGAATACTACTAGCATGGTAGATCTCTTTCCATCTCTTTACTCTTAACCTTTTATTTTCAACTTTTCTGTGCCATTTTGTTTGCAGAATTTCT